TTGCACTAAATGTGCTAAGGAGACGTCTGAACAAGCTCCCCAAAGTACCTCTGTCTCCTCGGAGAGAGGGAGGAGAAGGCAGGTTTCAGCCCCTCACTCCTCAACCTGAGCGACAGCGAGGCAACAGCTACACCCAGGACCCAAAAAGCAGCAGCCCACGGGAATAAATCAGGGGTTACACAAGACGTGCGTGTGGCTGCTGTGACAAACCACGGGGGCGACGCGTTTTGCCATCTGCCGGCCGGCACACACTGGTGGCACTGGCACAGCGGTAACCGGAGCCAGGCACCCCCGCACAGACAGGAGCCCCAGAAGCCGGAAAAACTCTGCTGAGCCACCTCGCCGGCCGGCAAGAGCCCAGGTCCCGGCTGCTCTCCCGTTTCAGGGGCCGGGGGGAACTGACGCGACTTACTTAAACCTCTCGGGGGTGAGGAAATTGAGGAGGTGGAAGAGCTCTTCCAAGTTGTTCTGGAGCGGAGTCCCAGTGAGCAGCAGCTTGTAATCGATCTTGTAGCTATTTAACACTCTGAAGAACTGGGAAAAGAAAAGAGGTTGGGTTCAGAGCTCAGGGGAGCCCATGAGTCTTCTGGGGGCCCTGCAGACTGCGCACGCGGAGACTCGGCAGCGACCTCCCGCCGCGCCAGCATGCGGAGCAGACCACAGCTTGCGTGTCCCGCTCCGGGCCATCCCCATGGAGCGCAGGGAGCATCCTGAACGGCCTCGGGTCACCAGACCCTCCTCCTGCGCTGGGGATGTGTGAGGTCCCAGGGGCCAGAGACCGCGTTTAGCCTCAGGTAAAGAGGAGAAGAAGGAGAGGGATCGGTTCCCTTTGGCGACAGCCCATCGGAAGCGCCAGGCAGGCAGCCAGGCCGCCGCCTCCTCCCCTGCTGAAGGATTTTTAATGCCAGAGGACGTTAAAGAGAGCAAATCCACCAAAACGCAGGTCCCAGGCAGAGCCCACGCAAGGTGAGGACATCTTTCTCCTCCCAGGGAGGAAAGCACAGGGCAGCAGACCACCACTGCTGGGGTGATGTATTATGTGGCACTGGCTGCACCGCAAAAATCGCTCCCTAACGTCTGCTACCTACTTTGGACTGGTTGTTCTTCAGCCTGTGTGCTTCATCCACCACCAGACAGGCCCACTCGATGGAGCCCAGCACCGCCTGGTCAATAGTGATCAGCTCGTAGGAGGTGAGCAGGACATGGAACTTGATCTGGGCTTCCTTCTGGAGGAGCAAAGGGAGAGAAAAGCCAGGATAAGAGAGCAGGGAATAGGACAGCCTCAACCTTCGCTGCTGCTGTAAGGGACCCAAGGAGAAAAGGAGGCGCTGCCTGCACCACACTGCACCGTGCCTGCAGCAGGGCCGAGGCACGAGTCGGGCCGGCAGAAAATCCATACCCGTCTGAACATGAGAACTGAGTAGGGGACTACAGAAACAGAAAAGAGTCTGGCAGAAACCTTCAAAGCTTATCACAAATCTCCTGCATTTGCAAACAGTGCCAGCTTCCCTCTTTGGGAAACCAGCCTCCCTCTCCAGGTCCAATTCTGCTCTCTCCCCTTCTCACTGATGGTTAAAGGACTGGGTAGGGCACAGACCCAGCTCCCACCTTCATCCGGAAGACCTTCTTTCCACTCCGGATGGCGTTGTCTTCAAAAGAAAACTCATTTTCCCGGATGACCGACCGGCTTTCTTTGTCCCCTGTGTAGGTGACGACGTAGAAGTCAGGAGCCCACATCTCAAACTCGCGCTCCCAGTTGATGATGGTGGAGAGAGGGGCGCTGACCAGGTACGGCCCTTTCGAGTGGCCCTGCTCGGGGAGACAAAGCCCAAGCTGTTCGCCCCGTACCAAGCCGCGCTCAGCCACCTCGGGGACTGCTGGATCCTCCACTCACCTCCTTGTACAGGGAATACAAGAACACAATAGTCTGCACGGTCTTCCCCAGCCCCATCTCGTCGGCCAGGATCGTATCCGTCCCTTGGGCCCAGGAAAATCTCAGCCAGTTCAGTCCTTCCAGCTGGTAAGGATGGAGCGTGCCTCCCGTGGCGTCGATGTACCACGGCTGCTTGTCAAACTTCACCGTAGGCTGAAAAGAGAGAGAGGCGATGCGAAGCAGTAAGAACCAACTCCCCTTCCTTTCCCTGCGGCTGAGCCTGTCCCTCTTCAGCCTCGTGACACGGAACAGCCCCAAAAGAGAGGGAGACACGGCCCCCAGCACAGACCAGCCCCCAGGCTCCTCACCGCAACGCCACCCCGGAGCTCTGAATGCGAAAACCAGAGGGGCCAGACCTCCCTCCCTACTCACATCCACGAGAGGTGTTTCCGGAGGCTTTTCCAGCTTCTCCTCTTTCAGCTTTTTCCCCTTCTTGTTCAGCTTCTTCAGAGGGCGTGTGTCCTCCCCCAGCATCAGCTCCCTGCAACAGCCAGCGTGCATTGGGAAAAGGCAGGTGGGCATTCCTCGCCCGGTCCCCAAGCCGAGGGACAAAAACGCCTCTCCATCTCCACTACCTCTCGCCCCACGGGAGCGTTCCTGGCCCCGTTAGCACAGGCACCCACGGAGTGTTAATCTTCCCCTCCCAACATCATCCAGAATGAAGAATAGCAATCTCATCAGAACATGGGTGGTTTTCCCCAAGCAGACAGGCAGCAGCACCACGGAGCTGCCCTGAAGTGCAGTGAGACCGTGAATATCTCGGCAGTGTAAACACGGAGGAGGGGGAACACAGGCTGGAAAACAACAGGCAGGGAGGAATTCCCAGCCATTTCAGGAGGCTCAGCTTTCCTGAAGTGCTCAGCCACCACTATCAAAGAGAGGTCCCTGCGAGCGGTGCCAATGTGTTCAGAAGGGGGACACCCACGAGTCCCTGGTCACGCCAAACGCCTGCGCAGGGTGCCCGGCTCTGCCTGGCTCCCCCCGGCTGTGGCGGCCTGGCCGTGGTCCCACTGTCCAGCTGGCTCCTACCTGTGGTTCCAGTAGAGGTGTTTGAGGTTCTCGTAGTACGGGATGTCTATCTCGTCAATCTCCCAGGTGCATTGGTCATACGGCAAGTCCTTCCACTTGATCAGGTAATGGATGTCTCCCTTTTTATCAAAGCTGTAATGCAGGGCACGAAAAGCCCAAAAAGCCCATCAGTGGGATGGCACTCGGCCCCCAGGAAGCAGCTAGCCATGACCCGCTTCCACAAACTGGGATGCTTCACTCTCTGCTTTCACCTACAGACCACGACAACCGAGCAGAGGTAGAAGAACGCACAGAAAGCATCAGTGCTCACTGGCAGAAACGTGTTAAATCATTCAGCCTCAAAGGCTGCTCTTCCGTTCCACTGAACAGCCTCGCTCCCCTGTTTTACCAGGACTGGATGAACACCAGAGCTCACCCTCTTTCTCCTGCAGCATTCACTGCTCTGTGAAGTTTTGCTTATGCTGAAAAATGAATAAACACACTACTGAGTCTGATTACACGCCTACGAGGAAAAACCCGGCCCTATTAGCAGACAACGTAAAGCTCGCACGAAAATTAGCCGGGCAGCTTTGTTTATTTTCTGCCAAGCAGCCTTCAAGCAGAGTTGCCACTTGAAATTTCAAGTTGCCACTTTGACGTGAGCGCAGAGGGGCCACGTGGCTTCGGAGAGGAACAAATGACCTACACGGAACGGGGCTGCTGTTCCGAAGCAGCTCAGGTGAGTGGCCACACGGCACAATCGATGGCTGCAGTAGCAATTTACGGAATGACTAAGAGGGACCCAAACAATACGCCTGGGAAGACTGGCACAACTCTCTCCATCTGCCTTCGGGAAGATTTACCACCTCTGTTTTCACATGCTGAATGACAAAAAGGCATCAATTCACTTCTGATTTGGCTTCACTGCTGGAGCAAGCCTCCAAGGTGACAGAGCCCTCGAAACAAGCCAGCAGCTGAAATTCCATCAGCTGAAATTTTGGGCAAGTCCCAGGAGCGCGGCAGGGCTCACCCTTGCCGTTTCCCTCCCTGAGAAAGCAACGGCATCGCTCAGCGCCAGCGCTACCAGGGGCTCAGGCACCCCGGCACGCGTCTTTCTCCTTCCGCAGCCCATTTGTGCGCCCACCCGCATGCGGCTCCTCACCTGTGGTTCAGGATGCGGTGGATCATCATCCACTCGGGCTTGATGCCGTAGCGGTAGAACCGCTCCTCCATCTTGGCGTACTGCGGGTCCTTGTTCTTCCGCTTCTCCCTCTGGCTGTCCTCGTCCCCAGAGCCATAGTCAAAGGCCGGTGGCTCGTCCATGTCATTCTTCCGTTGGTAGTTGCGGTACATTACGGTGTGGTACAGCTCCAGCTGCGGCAGGAGGAGCCACGGTCAGCCCTTGGGCCAAGCAAGGGCAGGGACAGGACAATGCCGCCGCACTGGCTCACCTGCAGCTCCTTGACCCAGGAGCAGTGCCAGTAGGAGAGGCCGGCCCACTTCACGAAGAACTCGCGCTCCGGGATCCCCTCCAGCACCTTCGGTGGGGGGAGAGCCAGCTCTGCGTCCGGGGCGGGCAGCACAGGCGGGAGCGGGGCGGCTGGCGGCTCTCTCCAGGCCCAGTGCAGGATGCGTTGGACTTTGCCCTTCAAGGGAGGACACTGGGGACAGAAGAGCAGACAGGCAAGAGCACGGAGGTTACGGTGAGCCCTGTCCGGGGCTGCAGGGAGGAGGGTGGACACAGGGGCAGAAAGGATCACACGAAGCCGAGCAGTCGGCAGCTGTCCTGGTGTGGCGGGGAGAGCACGGCCAGGGCTCCGGGGAGCATGCCGGCACAGCCTGCGCCAAAAGCTGCTGCCAGAGGGAAAGCCCAGGGCAGAAAGCGCCTGGGAATTCGCCTCCGGCCACAGGGAGCCAGGCGTGGCAAACCTGAATCATCCCAGACCCTGGCTGCATCCATCTCACCCCGCAAACACCACCGCCGCCCCGGGCACGAGCGAAGCGCTGCCCAGGGCAGAGCGGCTCCTCCGCTGTTTCTGACGGGGCGGACGGAGAGGCGGCGGTGAGGGTGCGCGGGGCAGGCGGAGGCTGGTGGCACAGGTGTGCCGTAGAAGCGTCCATGACACTGCTGCATCCCCCGTGGGGACGGGTCTTGCCACCAGGCAGGAAAGGCCCCTCTGCACTGGCCGTGCATCAAGCGGGGCTCAACATCCCACCTAAAAGCCGGCAGAGAAGCCACCAGGCAGCAATCCCCGGAGGGAAGGCACGCAGCTGGCAGAGCCACCCAGGGCCACCCAGGGCCCTTGGATATGTGCAACCGGCAGCGATGCTCCTGCAGGGAGGGGGTGTGCGGCAGCGGGCAGGACGCCAGCCCTGCAGCGGGGCATGGGGAGAGCACACGGGGGGCAGCAGTGGCTGGGAGACCTGCTCCCAGGCCGGGCGGGTGCAGGATCTGGGATGGGGTGAGGAATGCTGGTAACACTCACTGTACAGCGAGGGCAGAGCCATTCACCGTTTGGTATTTCTGGCAGCGGCGGGTTCAGGCAGTGGAGGTGGTAGGAGGACGGGCAGGTGTCGCAGCACAGCAGCTCCCCTCCGTCCTTACAGACCCGGCAGAACTCCATGTGGTCATCCTCCTCCTCCTCGCCGCCCTCCTCTTCCTCTTCATCCTCCTCCTTCGGCTTTTTTTTTTCCTTTTCCTGGGGAGGCACAGCCAGTGTAACACCGAGGGCTCCCGCCGGCCACCTGCCCACCCCCGCGGGTCCCCGACCCCACTCACGCAGTGGGGGCAGCTCCACTTGCCCTCGGGGGCCTTCTCCAGCTCGGGGTCCAGGCAGACAAGGTGGTAGGCACGGGGACAGGTGTCGCAGAGGATGATCTCCCCTCCCTGCTGGCACACCTCACAGTAGTCCTGGTGGTCTGTCTCGTACCCATCCCCTTCTTCAACTGCAAGCAAGGGACAGGCGTCCGGTCAGAGGGATGGCAGAGCCGCCGGCTCTCCCGGGAGGGAACGGGACGCGTGCTCCTCTATGACACGGTTAAGGACAGAAGGAAAGTGTTTCGCCTCGGACCCCTCCTGCCACGTCCCCCTACCTCTCTGTCCCTCAGCACCACAGTCCGCCTCTGCACACAGCATCATCTCACCTCTGTCTCTCTTTCTCTCTCCACACTGTATCATCCTTTGGTTCCTTCAGGCTCTCAATGGAGAATGCCAGAACCTGGAGAGGTTGCAAGGGAGGCCAGTCAGAGAAACCTCCCCAGGTACCGCCACCACCAGCTGCAAACGTGCCATGCAAGGGCGACACGGCCGAGGAGGACGACTCCTCTCCTGGGACTACTCTGCTCGCCCTGGGTGCTCGCTGGCACAGAGGCAGGATCTCCCACAGCTCAGCGCGGATGCAAAGGGGACAGGAGGGACAACGCCTTGCAAGCACCGGAACGGCTCATCTCGATTCCCAGCTCTGCCACAAGCTCCCAACTCAGACCACCGACCTTCCGCTCCTCCAGCACGTGGCAGGAGCTGCCCAGCTCCGGCACAAGGACCCTCATGCGGCAACCAGCCACGAGGAGAAGCGATTCCCTTTTTTTGCCGGCCAGCCCTGCCTCCTCGACCGATGGGAGGCTGGCGGGCATCACGCCCTGACCATCTCCCAGCCCAGAAGCCGCCCTTCCATTCCTCGGAAGCAAAAGCCCATCGGCAAAGCTAAGAAGCCAAAGGATGCGCCTGGATGTGAAGATCTCAGCCTGAAGGAGGACGCGAGGCAGAACGGCACGGGAGGCAGAGACGGTGCGGGCAGCTGGGCAGGGCGGCACTGAGCCCTGAGGGTCCCTGCCGGCGCCTGGAGCCGGAGCAGGGCTTGGGAAGCTCAGCTCTCAACAGCAGCACGGCGACGGAGGTGCCGTCGCGCAGAATCCACCCGCAGCTCTCCGCAAGGGAAGGGACGCAGGAATACACGCACAGACATGGCCACGCAGCCGCTGGGAGACCCCGACAGTCGCCTTC